CGAAATAAGGACATATGTTAGCACCCTCCTCATAGGACAAAAGTCATCGAGGGACCTCACTTAAGGCCTCTTGCCCGGTAACAATAATTTTGCACATGTACAATTACTCTGCTATCTTACACATAAACATTTGTGCTAACTTAAGCATCGAAATGTCTTTGATTAATACCACATTTGTGCCAAGATCTTGTGGATCCTTTTCTCCATATTGCAAATTGATTTCAACCTAGCCGAAAGATTCCAATAATCAAAGATCAAGTGACTTGCAATTGAATCAACTTTTGGCATCAAGTATTAAAACTTTGCTTACTACAATGTAGTGAACTTAATTTGAACTGAAAAATGCCACACCAACCTACCACAATTTGCGAAGTGATGTTACATCTCTCACTCCATTGTTTGGAGAAAGACTTTTATTAAACATGAATAGTATTATTTTACCATTTTCGATTAATAATACGCGTGATAATATTTCTACAAGACATATTATTATTGGTCGGAGATTACAAGTGCTATCTCTATCGCAAGTAAGTTTTTCTTCCTTGCTTGATGGCAATGCTTCCCCAAATATTCGTGCATGTGTTGGCAACCTTTGGATCTCTCTTGAAAATTGATGTCAAATTCCATAATGCGTTGGACCAATTCAAATGGTGCCAAACCTTTCGAGGGGTCATTTTCGGAAGAAAAACAAAACCGAAAACGAAATTTAATGAAAAACTCGTAAAATTTTAATCGAAGTGTCTTTTTTAATGATTAGTTTTTGCAAAAATGGCTGCCGTGACGAATAAGGAGGTCAAAGTGTTTGACGATAATACCCACGATGGCCGAAGTTGTTGACCATCGAGTCCCACTCTCCATCACGGGAAGGAAGAAAACTGTGGCATTTTCCACCCTACCAATTATAGGGTAAAATTGAGAGGCATCTATCAGTGGACGGCTCTAGATTTGTTTAATGAATAGTAAGACTAAGTGAGTTTAGTCATTTGCCATGATAAAATATATTTCGTGCGGCTTTCATATTTGATTCTAATCATCACTAGATATAATAACTTTCGACCACAAAATTTGAGAAATTATCCACCACATATACGACCCAAAGTATGTGAGGGAAGATGAAAAGAAATACTATATGTTGGAAAAATATTTAAAGTGTAATCCGTTATATGTATATTTTTCTCTCACAATAACATAGTCAAGTACGGAAGTGGAGTCACATATAGGTTTGAAGTGACTGTGGCCCCCCAAAATTCCAGAAAATCCTAGAAATTTTATATAAAACTTTGAAAATTTGTGGATAATAAGTTTATAAACTTCTCAGCTATTGACCTCCCAATATTTGTAGTCTAGTTTCGTCATTGGTCACGTAACTATAAACAAGCATTAAATCACGTGACTACAAAAAGAGAATACATATATCCCGTTACACCTAAGATTTTTACTTTTAATTCGTCAATTTTACCTTTTGTTTAGGGTAACAAGCTCGTAGTTGTTTTTAGAAACCGAAGTTATTGCATTGCAAGATGCAAAGTGTACACATTTTGTTGTTACTTATATATTATGACATATTGCTGGTTATAGTAGTAGTATTGCTCTTCAACCCTACTAATATATATAGGCTCATCGAAATTGAACGTTGTAGAAGCTCGAGCGCCAACTGTTCGACATTGACTAATATCATGAACCTTGACATGGTCATTGCGGCGTGATTGGAGGGTCTCACACTTTATAAAATTTGTTGGAGACGAAATTGAGTTGATCTGAGCCATCTACTTTGTAACACATGGATTTGTCTCTATCCACTTCAAATTACTATTCAACGAAAAGAAATTGCTTTTCTTTTGTTCGACAATAGCACCAAAAAGCCAAATTAGGAGGAAGCTGTTTTCCGAATAACAACGAGCAAGCAAATGGCAAATGGTTTGACCGGCACAAGTCTTGTGCGTGGATAGAGCATCATTAGTAATTGCCATGGAGGATGCCAATTCCATACAGCCAAACTGGTTGACCAGCGAAATCTTCAACTAGACTCTCAAAAATACATTTAAAAATGGTGTGAGCTTATCGTTTCAGCGGTCGAAGTAACGATGATGATACTCCCCTTGACTCGAAAAAGAAAGCACATTAAAAAAAATGATTGCTGGAAACATATATTTGTTCTTTGTGTGTGTTAGTTGTATATCTGCTCCAAAGACGATTAAAAGTTCATATTGGAGAAGCCAACATAGACCAAAAATGAAAAGGGCTCTTGACCTATATCTCATATGTACCAACTTCCGAATCCAACATACCATGCAACAGAGCAGACAGATATCTAGGTATTGGGTGCAAAATAGTAAATCACATGAAACTTTGACTCAAAAAAGGTGGATGATCAGAGGCCCAAACTGCCGTTGGAGCTGGTTCAACGACTTCTCCAAGATGTTTAGCTTAGCTACTTTGTTATGGTCACATCATCACTAACGTTTAGCTCATCTTGCTTAAAATAAAAGTGAGTTGAGCATTGCCTCTGGGGGATGTTGTTTTCAATCAAGCATCGTCAAACGACAGATAATCTGCATCTTTTGACCGTTGGGGTGAAGTCGGTGCCAAACAACTGTATCCCACAAAATTACAAGCTAATTTACCAAGATGTTTCACTAATATAATATTATTATAGTGCAAAATAGAGAGGCTTATCTTATGCAATATGCATGACCAGGTCTGGTTGGTATAAGATTCTCCAATACTCCCAACCACATAATTTTGTTGGATTTCATTTTAGAAAATGGCACTAGTGGAAGATTAAACTATTTAAAAATCTAATCCCAATCAATTACTAAACCAACCAATCTATGATCCTAATTTGATTTTACCAGTTTTAATCATATTGCATTTTAATCATATGGCGTGTTGTGCACTACAAACCATGGCATGATTACTTCTTTTGGGGGCCTTTTATTTTTGTTGTGTTATTTTAAAATGGACAAAAAGTCCAAACAGAAGCAACTTTTATTTATTTCCCTCTTAACTTAATGTGATTTTGTTTTAATCAATGGGATAAGAGGGTAT